TAATTTGCAATACAGATGAATGTTGAAAAATTACTGTGCAAGATATGATACAGGCATGAAGCTTAGCGGATAAAAAATGGCAATATCTCCATGCTAAGAAGAACCCTGCAGAAAAGGCCAAACTGCTCTTTCAAACGAATTTTTTTAGCGCTTTTTACGTAAACCATCCCCTATGCAGCAAATTTTTTCACTTGGTTGCAATGATATTCACCAGTACTGATATTTCAATAGATATAAAACATACCGTGTTATTGAGCAGCATTCGCACGATATCGATGTCGAAAATGATCTGCTTGAACCAAAGCTCGTATGACTGATGAATGATGATGAAGAGATGTTCGTCATTTACACGATTACCCTGCTCTTCAGACAGTAGCTTCTGGCAGTCGAGAAGTTTGTCGAGCTAAATAAGATGGTCTTATTACAGTACAGCTTTCAACTTCCCTTTTCAGTAGGCTACAGAAAAAAAGAACCTAAAATGTATCCCTTTACTACCCCTTCCCATCCCCCTACCTGCAGATATTGTCCGTATGTGACTCCTTGACCAAGTGCTACTTTATTCGTTCCAGCTTGTGCATCATCTTCCACAGTCTCCATGAATGTGACACGTGATCCATTGAAAGGGCAACCCATTTTGCTGCAAAATTATGCTGAGGTTGACGAAAAGAAAAATAGGAAGCCGAGATAGCGGAAACGTAGCACATAGAGCTCAAATGTTACATATTAGGACTTTAAAATTGCTCTATAAAGCTTAGGAAAACGAAAATCGGCCTAGCTGATTTTTGCTCGTTTCCTTTACTCAAACTATCCGTTCTGTGGTTAACTCTGTAAAACGTCATATGACTTTCATATAGAAGAAGAGAAATGCACAAACTCTCTAATAAGGGAAGTATTTCGTGACCGTGGCCATTTATACTGATTTGTATACCAAAAAATGCGCCTTTGAATGCCGGTTCGTTGTGTTCCATATCTGCGAAACGATAACCTGGATGGAGCTATGTTTTTTTTCTTGAATAAATTGTAATACTACGGAGTCAAAATCATCAATAAAATATTTTGCTCCCTTTTCAACATCAATATATGATTCAGATAATCTAAATACACAGTACTAAGTCTAAAGTCTTCTTCACTAGCATCAGACGGTCGGCTGAACCAAATGGTAATTTTATGTCGGAAAGTATACAAACTTCTTGAGAAAAATCATAACTTTTTTTGAAGGATAGCTTCGCAAATTTCAAAGATTTCAAGAGAGCAAAGATTCGGAATTAGCTTTTCGAGGTGCATC